GATTGAGCGTCTCCATGAAAAGTTATGATTTCCAAGCAAACAATACAAAAAGGCGAATTTGATTTATTTTGGCATTTTTCAGGGAAATCATAACTTTTCATGGAGACGCTCAATCGGCGCAAACTTTGCATTGTTAGAAAGTGCTGGTGAAAGAACCTACAGTACTGACTGCTCCGATTTTTGTTGCAAGTCTCCGATTGCTTATGACCCTACACAAAAAATTAAATTTTTTACCATTTTTTCTATCGCTCCTATCTATGCAACAGATGACCATTACTAAGCAGCTGAGATGTCATTATAAAGAGCATGACTTAAACTTTCACATAAAAGTGAAAGCAGTCAAATCGGTTGCAAAAATCAGAAGTTATGAATTTTGAACTTCATGCGCAAAAACTTTTTGGACGACCTGATAAGAGCGAGGTGGAGCGAGTTAATAGTAAAAAATGTGCTGTGGATTGACATCGTTATCAGCACTAACGGGAACGTGAGCGAACGCGCCTATTTGAGCGTGCTTATCGCTGTTATATGTTTATGTTTTTTTGGTAAAAAATGCGCTTTTGATTGACAGTTATGCCATCATTATTAGCACACGCTCAAAAAACTATGGGAGATTGGTGAATTTCCATACCTACACACAAAAACCCGCCCATTTCTGGAATCTATACTCTGTAAACCTAGTGCTGAAGAAGTGAAAACGCTCTAGACTCACCTTACCTAATTTGTAGAGAATGGTTGGTTTCATTGAATCAAAAACTCTGAGACATTCAGAAGAATAACATGTTATTAAAATATCCCTCAATGTTTTGGAAAGGTTGGCAGTTTGAAGAGGAAACGGCAGGCAGAATACTTTACAAAATCGCAGATGACTCGCATGTGTTCCAGTTCAACAGCGAGGCAAAAGGAGAACCTTGAGCCGACGAAAATGTTGCCGACATTGATACAGAGTTGACAATTGAGCGAAACTCTCTGATTTCCTGCATAAGGAATCCAAGCAGATTGTCTAGTTTCAATGAGGAAATGTCCAGGAAGTCCATTGCTGATCTTCAGGTTGCTGAAGAATTCAAGGCTGCTAACATCACGAGCATGAATATGAACAAAAGCAAGGTGTTATACAAAGCATAGCTACTGCACTTAGATCCCGGCTGGAGTGCGAACCCAACTCTGTGCTTTATGCTGCTGGAAGTTTTTCGCCTTGTGACATTATGACCTATGATATTGAAAAAAAAACAACGCGCAGCATAGTACCTCCTTTTTTCGGCTATTCCGCAGATGCTGTTCAAGAAGAAGTTGAGCAGCTTTCTAATCAGCTAACAGGACGTATGCCAGAGGACGTGAAGCCAGAGTTTGACAAGGCCCAAAAAAGTATGCACTATTTCCTTCCCGTGTTGCGAAAGCATATGCGATCTGGCTCTTTTCCCATTACTTACCGCAAAAATCTGATGGACTTACTAGCAAAGCTAGTTTCCATTCCGACTAGCACGGCAGAGGTGGAGAAAGAAATTTTCTATCTACTCTGTTATCAGAACAAAACGCAGAAGTCGTATAACGATAGAGCATCTAAGCAAATACTTAAGATTTGTCAACCTTCTACTAAACACATTGTTATCTAAAAACTTCATTTAAAGGATTGGTATAAGTGGTCCAGACAGGCTGTTACCGTATGACTTTTTGAAATATCCTAAAAGATGGTATGAAGAAATTGGTCACCTACCTGCTGACTTCCTGGTGCTACCAGAGGGCCAGGAAAAAAATCACAAAAGCGCTTAGAAGAAGAAGAAAGTTTCAAATCCATTTTCGACTCAGAACGCTTTTGCACGCAATTCTACTTCTACTCCGATGACCTTTTGGAGGAAGAAGAAGATTTTTCAGGCAGCGAACTTGTTGTCTCTGACGTTAGCGATAGTGATATTGTTGATGATGATGTGCAGGAAATGAAGTTCTTCCTAACTTGTACATCCTTTGGGATAAACTTTATCGCTTTCGTTTTTTGTTGATGTAGTGAAACAGGAGCACAGATCTTCATAATTTTTTTTAAATTTTTTAATTTCTTTTGAAAATGTTTTAATTTTTTTTCAATTTGTGCCTAAATAAGGTACAAATTAGAGCTCTTCATACCACGCTTTTTTACCTTTTCTCTCTTCCTCCCCCCCCCCCTAGACTCACATACCCCCTTCACCCTGGAAGGTCGGGAACAGCCGAGACCCCCTTCACCTGGGGAGAGCCCGGCTCCCCCTATCGCACCTATGATTCCGAAGCGAGTTATGGGCTTTTTCCTGCGCAAAATTGGCATGCTCATCGACCACGGGCATCACGTCATCATTATTTAAGTGCTAATACACCTGCGTTAAGTTTTTTTTTTAGTGATAAAAGATTGTATTTGCACTAGTTCGATACCTCAGCACCTTTTTCTTGCAGATTTTTATCTACAGGCAGTATTCTCATGTTCAGTAGTACGCCAATTTTGCGTAGGAAAAAACCCAAAGCTCGCTTCGGAATGGCGCGTGGCAGCTAGGAATAGCATATTTGGAATCAGCGTTTGATGTTGATTCAGGATATATATGCGTTTTACCAAAAGGCCGAGCTACGTTAGATAGCTTTCCATATCAGAATGATGCGATGTGGTGTACCTCAAGGAGGGGTACTACTATCTCTCATTCTTTTTAACATTTATATCTATGAACTCCCTCGTAACTCCCATCGTCCAAGGGTATATCTTTTGCTTTTGCTGATGATTTCAAGTTATATGGGGTTGTTATGAATTGTCATGAGATCATTTCATCAGATTGCATAACATTGGGTAATATTGAGTAACATCACATCACTTGTTATGCAATGTCTTACCCCGCCCTAACCGCTATTATTGTTGTAAGGCGGACCTGCATATAAGAGAGGACTGGAGACCATCATGGACACTCAAACACACCCCATCCCCTCCCCCTACCTCTATTGTCTAGTTTTTGTATCTTTAGTAATAAACATATATAATCACTATGTTTGACACACCGTAACACCGCTACACCTTCAGGCAAGGGTCCAGCTACCATTTGCTCCTGACATGGAAGTCCCGGGGAGATCTTTCTTTAGAATTCTTTCCTTGAATTGAATTTTTTCGAGACAAGCCCATTTCTATACATTATTAGGAATAAAATTCTACCCTATCCCTCACCCTACCCACCCTAAATGTCGTCCTATGTCTTCTTCTCCTTCCTTAGCCAATCACTAAGGAAGTTCGAACGAAATACGTAAGTTCCTTTACATATTAAATTATAGCTTACTAATAACTTCATATCCAATGATTATATGCAATCCGAAGATTGCGAATATAAAAGTCCTGCGGGCGAGTACCTTGTTAAAAAACGTAAAAACAATTATTAAAACAATTCAAATCGTAACAGAAACGCTCTCAATTTTTATTTATGGAAGTAATCCCTTATCAAATTTATACGTACACGAAGTCTATCTGACTTCAACCGAATTTCTTTTCTCCATTATTACCTCAACTAGTTCAAAGAAGAAAATTTTAATTCCGAATTCCTCGTTACTACGTAGGAAAAAATTTATATCAAATTTATCTAAAGGGAATATTAATAAACCTAATTACTGAATTTTCAATGCTAAATATATAATCAAGTACAATAATTTTCTTTCATTCTATGGAATCGCTCGCAAACCCCGGGAAAGTAATTACTAAACTATAGCAGAGAGTTCTGATATATAGAAGTGCACCAATCTATATCAGAAGGTTTCTTTCCGCTTCACATCGTTTTCGCGAATAAATCACTGCACAACGTAGTTGCGAAAGAGCTATGCTCATTCATTAGCAACGTTATTCTACGCAGCACGATTTACGCGAATAAATCACTTGGATCTCGTAGCACGTGAAAATCGCACCGATCCACAAAACAGCACGGCAACCTACCGCAGCGCTATACTTATGCGGATAAATCACCGCCTTTCGCGTTCAGCGCCACTACCAATAGCAATAAATTTTCGCGGACACCGAGCCACATGTGGCAGCAGGCGAAAATATTTCGCCATGCCACCACTTCCATTACACCATAAGCACCGGCAAACAAATCCCCAAAATAATCGGGCAACTGCTTTGTCACTCATTAGAACAGCATTACTCAAGTTCCGAACATATGGCCGTAAACACCAAAATATCTGGATGACCACTCATAATTAATGACCAGACTCTTCCAGACAAATTACTAGCTATACACATTTGTTGCCAAACTCTACACAACCAACAATAAAATTCAGTACGAACAAATTCCCTGCTTCGTTTAAATAATAATAATCGTCAAAACAATATACCTTTACAAAATTCGTTTATTGAGCAACACATTCACACATCTACAACTAATTATAAACTATTGCCAAACATAAATTACTTAGTACAAATTGAAGCCGGCTACGTTTCTCACTAAGTCGGGCAGTTAGGCCATCATCAACTACGTTAACTAGTAATAGTGAGTTGGTGGTACCTCTTGCAAGCGTTTCCACGAAGGCTTTGTCTAACGCCAACTTTTCACCATTTTTCGTAATCACCTAATCGCCGAAATTCAGAATTATGAAGGTCCTATCCGCCTTCCAATTCGCTCCATTACACACGTTGAACTCTTCACTATGCACATTATGTAGAACACCTATAATAAAAGAAATTATCATGACTAACAAAAAGAATTTTTCTCTTTCTCTCTAACTTACAAGAAAGCATAATATGTTCACCATCATTATTCAAAATCATGACTGCAACTTGAACCGTGTTATTCCATTGAATCTTCAACCAAGTCTCTCGCACTTCCCCCTAATCAAACAAGATAATACGAGCTCTTCTGCAAAGAGTGCGTCCCCCAGTAGTGTTTGAGGTTGGCCTATAAGCTCTTCGTTGTATAAAAATAGACGCCTAACATGGAGATTCTCGTTCAACTCGAGAACCTCCTAGAGAACAAACGCTTATATATAGCATCAATTCCTCCACATTACCTTATTCAAGTTCAATTCCTTCTGCGTTCCACAACTCGGGCCTTTTCAGCGGCCTCCGTCTCACGCATATTTTTTGCAACCAATATATTAAAGTGCACTTGGCACTCTTCATAATTTTTCTGCAGCTCAGCACACTTTGAGCACGGTGGTGGGTGCTCCAGTTTCTCAATCTCACGCCTGGCGACTTCCAACTCAGCTGTCGTTTTGGCTAAGTTAGCCTCTAACTTCTCTGCCCAAGACTAAAAGAGAAAAATATATATATAAAATTATTTTTTCAAGTAATCAAGCAAACTCACAATCCAATCTCCCCCAGGCGGTATTCTTGGCGACGGAGAACGACTGTTGGAGTCGTTTTGTGGAGAAGCACAAGCCGCATCCCAAGAGTCAGGAGTGTTACCTCTCGAGTTTACGGGAGTACCGGCTCTTCTGGGCGCACGGGGTACAGGCGAAGGCGAAATACAGATTCGTCCAAAAGGCATTGCTTATCCTTAAAAAAATTTGTTTTTATCCGCAAACAACCTCAGATTTTTTTCTCAAAAAAATCAAAACAAGACAAAATAAACGAAGTTGAGATAAGATCGCCACTTCCGCCGTTTTACACCTTTTATAGGGAAAGCAGTTTGACAAATTGCGCCTCCAACCTAACAAATTGCACCCCCGATTTACTGGAGAGGAAAGAGCATGTTTGACTAATTGCACCGGCATGCTTGACTAATTACACCTCCGATTGGATCTTGATACCATGACGCAACGTTACAATAAATATATGAATATATATATATATAATTTTTTGCGCTATATTAAGACATTCAACATATTCTAGACTAATCAAAAAACTTTAATATTAACAAAAGTAAAAATCACATTAATAAATTAAATCAACCAAAAAGTTAAAAATAACTTTCGCAACCAACTGTTTACGAAGATTGTTTACATGCCATTCACTAACGAAAGCAATGAACCAACAACATCTGCTGGCCCTTCGCGAACAATTTTGCAACCCAAACGAAGAAATCCTTTGATTAGACATTCAAGCAGAGAAAACTCGGTAGAAGTAAGTTTCAACGATATCCCTCTCAATTCTGGATACTCAACAATTCTCAAACACAAATCTCCTATACGGAATATCCCCAGCGTTGCTCTCATTCATCACGATTCCTTATCTTATATATAAAGCTGAATGTCTGTCTGTCTCTGTACGTATGTGCGGAATAGAAATTTTTATTTTTGAACCGATTTGGACCAAACTTGGCACACATATACTTCGGGCAGAGAGCGTGTCATGGGCTACTCTTCGTTATCGATCGATATCGATTTTATCGATTTTTTGCAAAATTTGAGCTACAGGGCTGGGAGTTGGCACAGGGGGGTAATCGAGCATGCTGATTACGAATATATTATTGACAGGCCCGGGCGGAGCCGGGTTTGCCAACTAGTTACCAGTATATATACCTGCAGAACTCAATCACAAAAACGTAATAGCACTTTTTGACACAGGATCTGCTATTTAGTTTCAGCACGATTAGCAAAACTTTTACATATGACTCTGAAAGAACCATCATTACAAGCAGGAATAACCGCTAATGGAACACCGATTACATTCATAGGAGAACTTTCGCCAATACTTCAAGTAGCAGACAAACAAATTATCATACTTACATATCAGTGGCGTACCGAGGGGGGGGCCGGGGGGGGGGGCGGGGCGCCCCCCCCCCCCCGAGAAAGGGTCGCGAAATTTTTGAGTTACTTATATGGGTTATAAGAATGTGCAAGTAACATGTTTATAATTTTAAAAACCCCACGCACTCCGAAAAAATTCACCCTCATTCGAAAACATTTTTGTCGCGCCCCTCCCCCCGAGCGAAATCCTGGGTACGCCACTGTTACATATGTAGTTCATGATGAACTGCACTGCAGAATTCCTCATTGGAAACGATACCATTAAAAAATTAGCATCTAACATCTCAATAAATTACGAAAACAAAACAATTTCTTTTGACCAAAACATCGTTCGATTTGTTGCACCAGAAGAACCAACTGCTTTAAACTTTACTGTACCTGTGTACTTAACCGTTCCCACAACATTGCCTCCACATAGTGACAATATCGTACATAATACCCTTCATTCTATTTTTCATAGTAAATGGGAATTTTTAATCTGCGACGATAACTTACTCACGCTCCCTCATGGTATAGCATTAGGCAAAACACTATCTTGCACAAATAACAATAACAAAGTTATGTTACGTATTTTTAACTCAAATGCTGTACCCATACACTTTCATAAACATAAACTGATAGCACATGCTAACTATGTAGGCACCAACATGTACTGGCCATCCATATATTCGGTATATCCCACTAATGAGGATTCAATGCTTAAACCATCACCACGACATTTAGAACAATACATACCTCCAGAAGCAGATATAAGCGAAAATATGCCACTATTTCCAAATCAAACAATATCCTCCATTCAAGACCGAATAAAATTTGATAGCTCTGCACTTTCACAAACTGACGTTTTAGAATTCTACGAACTTTTGCATAAATACCAATCTTGTTTTGTTGGCCCCGACGGCAATCTAGGTCGATACACTGGACCAATATCACATAAGATTAATTTTGTCCCTCACGCCAAAGTTCCTTAAAGGCAGTACATCGGCAGAATGAGACCCTTGACAAAACAAGGTCACAGGGTAGGAGCTCCCATATGGAACCTATCGGCCAAAGTCCGATCTTTCTCTGCCATTCCTAGAGCCCCAACATTTCAAAGCGAAAGCAGCGCTCATCTCCTGTCCTCTCCGAACCCGCCCACCCCATGGACGAGTGACTACCGCGGTCAGAGCGCCAGCCGCAATGCTATAAGCGTGAGGTCCCGCAACGACTCTGCGTCTTCGCCATGACGGGCTTCGCGTTCACTCGTCCATGGGGTGGGCGGGTTCGGAGAGGACAGGAGATGAGCGCTGCTTTCGCTTTGAAATTCCGGGGTTAGAAGTGGCAGAGAAAGATCAAACTTTGGCCCATAGGTTCCATTATGGGGGCTCCTACCCTGTGACCTTGTTTTGCCACGGGTCTCATTCTGCCGACCTACTGCCTTTAACAAAAACCGCACCGAGTTCCTCTTGAAAAAAGAGAGGAGATAAAACGGCAAATCGAAGAAATGCTGCGCACCCGCATTATCGAACCAAGCACTAGCAAATTCGCATCTCCAATAGTCTTAGTTAAAAAAGGTTCTAACAAGGACCAATGGAGTTTTACAGTTGATTACCGACAAATCAACGCAATCACTGAGAACGAAACCTACTGCATTCCCCATATCCAAGATATAATCGATCTTGTGAGCGGAAAAGAACTTTATAGCGTTCTTGACTTCAAAAGCGGATTTTTCCAAACAAACATAAAAAACGCACTGCGTTCACGTCATTTCTTGGACTTTATCAATTCACTGTAATGGCTCAAGGTTTAAAAAGAGCCCCAGGTACATTCCAAAGAGTAGCAAACTCTCTTCGTGAACTACGAGCTTGCTGTTTCGCATATACTGATGACATAATAATTGCAAGCCACTCTGTCAAAGAACACCTTAGAGATCTCGAAGAAGTTTTTATACGGATTCGAAACTTTGGAATGAAGCTGACACCTGAAAAATGCTGTTTTTTCAAGAAAGAAGTTCAATATCTTGGAGTCCTAATCAGTAAAAAAGGAACCCGTCTAAACCAACCCTGACAAAATTGCCAGTATAGTAAAAAATACCAACGCCAAACGACACAAAAGCTGTCAAATCTTTTCTAGGCGCAGCCTCATACTTTCGACGATTCATCCCCCGATTTTCTTTCATTGCCACCCCCCCCCCCCTCAACAATTTGTTACTAGAAGATACTCCATTTAAATGGACAGACGAACATCAGCAAGCTTTCGAAACCTTGAAACGTGCTCTAGTCAAAGCACCCGTTCTAGTCCCACCAACTTTGGGACAACCTTATGTAATACATACCGACGCTTCCACAATCGGAGTAGGAGCTCGTCTGTTACAAACTAACTTACAAGGGAACGATACTCAATGTCCGTGGCCTTTCGAGACGTGATTCATACCATAACACTCTTCTTCGAACGCTGATTCCAAATCTGCCTTCCGTTTCTGCTAATCGTTTCTCTGAAAGAAATTATGGGGGAATTTCGAGCCAAGTTTGGCTGCTCAAGGGAAATATGGTCATTGGAACGGCCTCTACTGCGGCCACCTTCTGGTTCAGTGGTTAGTGGGATAGCCTTATAAGTTGATGCAGGTGTAAGTTCAAATCCTTTTGTGTTTTTACTTTTGCATTGCCTTAATTAAGCTTGTTTGAGAAAATTTACTTGAACTATGATCATTGGATACAATTTAGGGCAAATAGTAATCTTTTTTACAAATTGCCGCATTTTTTGAAGAGTAAGGGCATTCATTTACCTCGATGATGCGAAAGAAGGTTAATTGAGGCAATGCAAAACTGAAAAACACAAAAGGGTTCGAACCTGCACCTGCATCAACTCATGAGACCAACGCACTAACCACTAGACCACAGTGCACCGGTAGCGGTGGCGCTCCGACCATATTTCACTGGGCAGCCAGAATCCGCGCGATCCATTATAACAACTTTGAAGCGATTAGCAGAAACAGAAGTCAGATTCGGAATCAGTGTTCCAAGACGAGTGTAATGGTATACATCTCATCTCAAAAGGCCGCGGACACCGAGTATCGTTTCCTTGTTAGACACAAATCTAGAACACCCAATTGCATACTGTAGCCGCCCACTTACCAAGCACGAAAAGAACTATGCTATCATAGAGCTAGAAGCACTAGCTATTGTTTTTGCACTTAAACACTTTTACCCATACGTCGCAAATGCATCCATAACATTGGTTACAGATCATGCTCCTCTCAGGTCCTTGATGCATAGAACCGATCTAGTCGGTAGACTAGATTAATACCAAATTAGCATTCAAGCCTATGACCTCAAAATTGAATATCGAGCAGGCAAACATAATACGTTGTGTGACTTTTTGAGCCGATACCCGACAGTTACCACGAAGGCCGTCCAGATTAATTCCCTAGTTAACATTAATACTTTACAAATTAACTCCCTACCAACTTTAGACCAAATTCGCCGATCTCAAACCCAATCAAAATATGGCACCTTAATAAAATTTCTTAACGAAGAAAACAACCTCGAGGGAGATCTCCCTAACGAATTCTTAAACCTCTTGATAAATATAGAATTCTCAACAATTGTCTTTATGCTAAATTCAAAAAATACCAGACAAAGAAATGCAAAACAAGATCATACAAGTCTTTCACAATAACCCACTTCTAGGTTCGCATTTAGGAGTTCGAAAAACCATAAAAGCCATAGAATCCAAATACTTTTGGCGAGGAATTTTTTATCACGTAGCAAGATATGTTAAATCATGTCCAGTTTGTCAGAAAATCAAAACTCCATCGGAACAAATAATTCGTGAAGAATTAGGATCATTTCCAATCCCCCAAAGACCATTCGAACGGTTACACACTGACATTATTGGACCGCTCCCACAGTCTATCGATGGCAATAGATTCATCTCCATAACAGTTTGTGCTTTCAGCAAACTTATTACACGCACTCCGATTCCCAACCAGTTAACAGATACAGTCGTAAAAGCACTTATTAACGATGTCATTTCCAAACACGGCATCCCCAGCGAAATAGTTTCTGATAGCGGATTCAACTACACCAGCGAAATTTTTGCCCAGCTGAATCACGTTCTCGGAATCTCTAATTCTTTCACAACTAGCTATAATCATAAAGCTAATGGCCAGGTTGAAAGATTAGTAAAAGTCATTACCGATTCATTAACCGCATACTGCTCCGAAGCACGCGACATGTGGTGTGATTTCCTTCAACCCATCGTGTTTGCATACAACACTAGCATTACACTACAGGATACAGCCCAAACTTCGTCGCTTACGGACGTCACCCTATCACATGGAGTGATATTATTCATTAACTTCCATCTCGCATTTCCTACGCTTCGGACAGCTTCGCTGATCAACTCACAACAGCTTTGCAAACTACAATCACAAACGTTGGAAACCAAATCGCAAACAAAACAGCATTATACAAAGCAGGGTATGATTTTCAGCATAAGGTTTTCTCAAAACAATTTCTGTTGGAGACCTCGTACTCTTACATGATGAAAGGATACGCCCCAAATTTACCTTTCCATGGAAAGGCCCCTTTCTAGTAACAAAGATTAATCGTCCCAATGTTACCACTCAAAGCTTAATTGGCCCCAAATCCACTCACACTGTACATATCAATAGACTTAAGATCTATTGTCCCCGCTCTTCATCGGCTAATGTTTCCGAATCAACCTCAACCACTCCATCACCTCACATAATGGAAACATCAAAAGATGATAAGCAACCTCTTAACCGCCGTACAAATTTAGAACTTCACAGTCAGGATTCTGAAACCGACAGCACAGACTCTGAAGAACTCTAATTGTGGAATGATCACTTTTCCACTAACAATTGGTATGTAACCTTTTTTTTCCATTTTTCCGCGCATCGCCGCTTCAACAATCAAAACTTCTTCAAGCCGACGACCCCAAGAAGTTAAACAAAATTTCTCACTATTAAGCAGCTCTAACAAACAACCACAATCACCATTAACTTCAATAATACAAATTACGTCCTAGTCTTACACTAGTGAATTGTACTAGCATAAGCTAGCCTCTTCGTAATCCAGAAGTAGCATAACTTCGCCTGTAACTTAATGCTGTACAAAATTTAATAACCAATTTATTTTCATTTCAATTCTATTGTAATAAGCAAACCTACCTCCTTAAGTTACTACATAATCGCTGTATTTTTATCTTGCAGATTTCAACTCAATCATTATGTTAACAAATATTTGCACATTAACGCTCAGTGACACCCCAACGCTAAAACGCCACCCCACTCCCCGTACATACACGCCATCCCATCCTCTCGAACTTACAACAACGACAGTCCTCACACTAAACATCATCAATCTTCAACCAACCATAATTTTTCTCGCTCGAGGACGAGCTATCTAAACCACCCGGAGGAGAGGAAAAGGTCGTAGCTGCGCCAACAGCTTACCTAATCCCACCTCCACTAGCTGACTAGCCAGTTCAAAACACTAGCTGAACGACACGCTCAACGACAACCACCATCAATATCTCAACCAGACTGTTAAGGCGCTCGGGGACGAGCTTTCTGTAGGAGCGGAGATGTCATGAGATCATTTCATCAGATTGCATAACATTGGTAATATTGAGTAACATCACATCACTTGTTGTGCAATGTCTTACCCCGCCCTAACCGCTGTTATTGTTGTAAGGCGGACCTGCATATAAGAGAGGACTGGAGACCATCTTGGAAACACACACCCCTTCCCTTCCCCCTACCTCTACTGCCTAGTTTTTGCATCTTTAGTAACAAACATATATAATCACTATGTTTGACACACCGTAACACCGCTACACCTTCAGGCAAGGGTCCAGCTACCCCTTGCTCCTGACATGAATGTTGCCGGTCGTGATCGGCTAGTGCTCTTGATGATTTTATTGCTGGTCGCAAATCTCGCATCTTCTTATTTCAAAAGAAAATACAGAAGTGATGCACATTAGGGCAAGTAATCCTGAGTGTCTTCATTCATTAGTGGAAACTTCACTTGAGCCTGTTGAGGTGATGTTAGGGTTTCTGGCCAAGAATAATCTTTGTTTTGACGATCACTGTAAAAAGATAGCTGACAAGGGTAAAGTGGCGGTGATCTATTCAGAGTGCTTTCAACAAGAGATTTAGTAGTCCTCTTGAATGCTTAGTTACATAAAGCCTTTGCTTGTATATGGTACTGTGATATACAGCCCCTTCAAGCGCAAAAGTATCGATTGTTTGGAAAAAGATCAAAATAGCTTCACAGGTAAGCTAAATAGAACTGTTGGGTTCGTCTACGATCAGATTCCAAGTAGCAGAACCCGCAATAGGAGCCTTGGGTTAATGACACTGGCCTAGAAGGAAAAATTTGATCTTATTATGGCTCATAAAATATTCTATGGAGACTGCGGGTTGAATCGTGATTCGTATTTTACGACTAAGATATCAAAAACTAGGGGCGGTACAAGAAAATCGTCCAAGATCTAAAGTTAATGTACGAAGAGCTTCTTTATATGTAGAGTTTTGCCTGATGTAGATACACTTATATATTCTTCTTCAAACCCGAGTAAGCGAAACATTTTGGGTGGAGCAGCGCGTCCGCACCGCAGCTGAGCGAGGAAGATTAGAATGAAGAGACGCAGACTGCAAAACGGAGCGAATTGTTGCGAAGAGGACTCCCGCTAGTCCATTTTCCGCCTAAACTGAGTTGAAACTTACCGTATCGGCGATTCGTAACATGCAAGACTGGGCGCCGTTGCGTCCATCCAAGATAGCTCGTGCTTAGGGGCAGATGGTAAGAAAAACGAAAGAGCGCTTGATCAGGGAGACGCCGATAAGTCCGCAGTCTTTGCGTGCAATGAATGACCTGTACGTGAACGAGTGTTTGTTCATAAGCTGGCTTCGTTCAAAATATTGTTGAGGAACCATTTGCAAAAAAAGTGAAATTTCGTTGTGTTGGCGCTTTTATTTAGTTCTTGATCTTTTATTTTTCCATAGGGTCCCGCCGTTCGCCGCATGCACACAGTTCCGGCGCAGTCCTAGCATAGTGCGAGAACTGCGTTGAAACTGTTCCGGAACTTCCGGGTCAGTATCCAGTGGCGGTCGCAGGATTTCCGTCCGGGAGTTAGAGGCAGAAATTTTTTTGGATGAAAGTGCGTGGCGTCAGTCAAGCACTCCGAAAAATCTGGGATGCTTGTCATATTTTTTGCAGATCCAAAACCCCCAAAACCTAGAAGAAGGGGCAGGGCTCGGCACGAGCTGGCACCAGGGAAATTTCAAAACGAAGTCCCGTTTGATATTGAAAATTTCGTACGAAGTCCCTTTTGACCTGTTTTGAAAACCCGTCATCATTTTTATATTATGTAAAAAAAATGTAGTAGTGTTTTCATGCATTTCTGATTTCATGAAAGAACTTTTCACAGCTTTCTGAGCTTTTTAAGTGGTCGAATCACATCTCGAGAAGCAGAAAAAGCCGATATTTCGGGAGACGGTCTTTTCGCACGGACGGTCTCCAGAGTCTCCCTGATTTTGACCTGTCTTAACATGTAATGCACGCCGTAAACCTTTCCTCCCCCTGTTTTGCTTAGGCAAAAGCCGCCGCAGGGTGTGTCGCGCGCGGCGGTGGTCTTGTGTGGAAAGCATTACGGTCGTGCGAATCGTCCTACACCCGATATTTCGACTGCGGAGCGGGCCGAGTGGTTTTCAAATTGCTATAAAAAGCTGAAAAGAGAACATTATGAAACTGTTTCTTCTCCGTATGTAATCTTTTACAGTGTAGATACATTTTATGTAAAAAAGTATGAAAACTTATGTGAGCAAAGTGTCGGTGCCAGCTCAGCTGGCACCCAGCTGACACGGTGCCAGCTAATTCAGAAAAAAGTTAGGCACAGCTTTCATTCACATAAGTTTTCATAAATTTTTGGCCCGTAGCTCCGGTCCACCAACGCGCATGCACACACCAAATTTGGTGTCACACTATTGCGTTCTGGCTGAAAACAACGCCTTTCTTTGTTGATGGACAGCTTGCCGATGGCATGCCGGTGGCATGCCGGCGGCATTTTTTCGGCTCTTCTCCGTTTCGGATCGCGGAAAAACGATATCCCCTTTGCTTTCCGCCCTAAAAACGATATCCAGCTTGACCCGGTGCCAGCTGTGCTGAGCCCTGAGAAGGGGGCATAGCTGCCGCCACGCACGTCCAAAACTTGTAAAATTATTTTGATTATTTACAAGAACAAACGTCTCTTGTACATTTTAATAACGCATGTAAGTGAATTTCAGAAATTTCGCGAATCGCGACCCATCCCCGGGGGGGGGGGGGTCCCCTCTTTGCCGCCACTGATATGAACCCAGCCTAAGCGCGAGCTGCTGTGTGGCGGACCGAGGAATAGCGCTCCGCGAGCTGCTTTGAGTGTAATTTTTTCGCATGGGCCCGTATCTAATGGAAGTTGCATAGGCGATCATGACACACAAGGACTGGTTGCCGTTGCGTCCGACGAAGATAGTTTGTGGATGGGAGAGACAAAGATGGCAAGAGGAACGAAATAGCGCTCGATCAGGGAGACGCCTACATGTCCGAGTCTTTGCCTGCTACGAATCGCCTATACAGTCTAGTAAAGGGAATATTAACGAAAATCGAGCCAGTCTACCTCAGGTGAGGCACTGCCATTACACACAAGTACAAAATCTAAGTGTCTCGTTATGGCGAACCACCTCAACACCAATAGCCTTCCATCTCGCTTATATCGCGGGAATGACAGCCAGATTTTTTGCACTGAGTGGTAAACAACTGACCGTTTACATCTCATAGGCATTGTTATGCAAAACTTCTTCTGCTAGATAGATGTTGGAAAGGGCTTACAAATGAAATGAAACGCACACGTACAACGCTATAGAATCAAATCTAGTGAGCATCTTGAGAGCTTCAAAAGTAAATTATGAAAAGGACAAACCTACAACGAACGAAGCTTTGAAGCGTTCAGATACTTAGGCTAGATTTCGGTCGACACCATTTTGGTCGTTGACTGATTTTTAATCATGCTGATGTGGATTCCCACGTCTCATTGGCTACTTGTAGCAGATTCGCAAGATTTCAGAGCTAACTTTATACAGAAAAACGTAGATTTTACGTCCACAAAAACTTATGCAAAATGGCAGGAAACAAAAAACCGTGAGAGATGTTCGATAATTCATCTCAATAACTCTCCAGTAATTGTGAAAATATAGATAAATAAACATGCAAGCAATAAATGACCGTCCAAAATATGCTTAATGCATTAGTCACAGTGTCTCAAAGACCATGGAGATAGAGATCAAATTAGAAAGATAGTATATGCAATTCAAAAGAACCATGAGTAGACGGGAAGTGCTGAATAGTGGAGAACTTTCTTTAGCTAATCGTAATTAAAATTAAGCGATCGCCCAGCCGTCTTCTCCATATAAGCACCAATTTCTTCTTTCATAACCGTAAGACGGCTGTAAAACTTCTCCTCTTCTTCAGCTGCGAGGGACATATGGCGTACGTCTTCGTTCGAGTAACCCTTTAAGCATCATATTGATACAGTGCTTGCATATGATGCCACGTGTAACTAACTGACCATCCAGTGGATGTCCTTTGTAAAATGCTCGGCGAATGCACACATGAACCAGCCGCAGTCGGAATTGTTCGTTTGGCACGGCAGTGAGTCGCACCGAATTAGACTGGAAAAAATTGAATTATTCACATAAAATGTGCATAAAACTTTTCAATACATACGTGAATCTAGTCAAACATTTCCTATCAGATACGACCAGCGCAGCTTTGATAGCCATGATGATATGATAATACATGTTTTCAGCTATCCTTGCCAACGCTTCTCTGAATAGACAATCATTGTACTGTGAGCGTAATGAACCCATGGTAGAACTCACTTATTAATGGGGTCATTGAATTTGCTGTCCACTACGATGAAGCGGCCACTGAATGAATCCTAAAGTAGATAGCAAAACTTCATGGCGTTGTTCCTCAGTACACTCCTACTAGGTTCAAGGAGTATATATCTAGAAAAACGAGGAAAAGATGGATGCTGTGCGGTATCTAAACAGAAGTGATCTCGCCGTAGGAGAAGGCTATTCATGACAGAAATTATGGATTTATGATTAGAGACAATGTGTTGGAATGACTACATCAAGTAACTCGAAAAAAAAAACACCAGCCGACGAAAAGCAACATGAAGGAGATTATCGACGCTGCAGTCAGCCGAAACGTATGTCTGGGCATTCTTATGTGGGAGACGGCCCTTCTGCACCGTTAGCCTTGCAGGCTGATTACTGCATGCCTCTGATTGGTCGGCGCTGTTGCAGCAATTGAAAAAGCGAGAAAGCTGGACTGCTGTTACGTTTTGCTAAAGGCTGCAGTTACCGAAAGCTAGTCACTTTTTTCAAATACTTACCAAATAAACTCGAGTTCGAACAAAAACTGATTTTGAAAGTACGTAAATTGAGTAAAGTTTTCTATGCGTGTTTATGTGGTGCAAGTCATGAAAACACACTTGAAAACCTAGCTTCTAGGAAAATTCGAAAATATCAACGTTAAATCACTACGTAATATATAACGAATTCGTTGTTTACCCATTAAGCCGCCCGATAGTTGGATCATGGCAAACGAGGAGGCCGCAGACGTAAAAATTATGATGAAATACACTGATCTTTGGAATTGGATTGCTGCCAAGTGGCATGCGTTTTGGAACGCTGCCAAATTTGATAACGAGTGACTAAGCGTATTTTCGTAAAAGGGTTACACGTATTTCGAAAAGCAATCATGAGTGTCGCAATGAGAGACTGGGTCGCCAGTGTCCGGATTGTTATACCTACTTTTTTCGAGCTTGTTATAAAATGTGCCTTTCAAATATGTTGTATTCCTGTTTAGGTACTTTTGAAATGATGCCAAATTGCGAACAGCTTGACTTGAGCTGAATTTATCTATATTCTCAACTCTTGGTAAAAATGCTCTAACTAAGAATAGTCACTTTAGAATTATTTTGCTTCCGCGTGTAGACAAGAGAGGCGTGAGTTGGCCTCGCTGGTACTTTTGAAAGCGTTTATTTAACAACAACCTTGCTTTGCTTGTGTAACTGGGTCCCGCTGGTGCTTGAACTAGGTATCGGTGTGTAAGCGGCACCTAGGGCAATTCGATCGGGCAGGGAAACAGATTTCTGTGCGTTTGGGGCATTTCTCAGACTTGAAAGTCCTAAAGTGACATGTACGGCAATTTGAGAATACGCTGTAAATACTGGAATTTGTTGTTTTTTTTTGTATGAGTCGTAGTTGGTTTTTTTTATATATACGGTCTTCAAGCGGCACATAGGGCATAAATTTCTTTTTTGAATAGTTACTATCGGTCTGTATGCGGCACGTAGGGCAACTCGATCGGGCAGGGAAACAGATTCTTGTGTGTTTGGGGCAGCTTACAATTTTCAAACGGTCTTCAAGCGGCATATAGAGCAAAATTTCCTTTTTGAATACTTACTATCGGTCTGTAAGCGACACTAGGGCAACTCGATCGGGCAGGGAAATAAATTTTTGTACGTTTGGGGCAGTTCTTAAAATTTTTGAACGGTCTTCAAGCGGCACATAGGGCATAAACTTCCTTTCTGAATACTTACTATCGGTCTGTAAGCGGCACGTAGGGCAACTCGATCGGGCAGGGAAACAGATTTTTGTGTGGTTGGGGCAGTTCTTATAATTTTGAACGGTCTTCAAGCGGCACATAGGGCATAAATTTCTTTTTTGTATAGTTACTATCGGTCTGTAAGCGGCACGTAGGGCAACTCGATCGGGCAGGGAAACAGATTTTTGTGTGTTTGGGGCAATTCTTGTAATTTTTAAACGGTCTTCAAGCGGCACATAGGGCATAAATTTCTTTTTTGAATAGTTACTATCGGTGTGTAAGCGGCACGTAGGGCAACTCGATCGCGCAGGGAAACAGATTCTTGTGTGTTTGGGGCAGTTCTTACAATTTTCAAACGGTCTTCAAGCGGCATATAGGGCAAAATTTCCTTTTTGAATACTTACTATCGGTCTGTAAGCGGCATGTAGGGCAACTCGATCGGGCAGGGAAATAAATTTTTGTACGTTTGGGGCAGTTCTTAGAATTTTTGAACGGTCTTCAAGCGGCACATAGGGCATAAATTTCTTTTTTGAATAGTTACTATCGGTCTGTAAGCGGCACGTAGGGCAACTCGATCAGGCAGGGAAACAAATTTTTTATATGTTAATTGACGGTCTTTAGGTGGCTCAGTAGTGTGCTTTTCGGGGAGTGATCTCCTTTTGTAATAAAACTTCATATTCCTTTGGCGAAAAAATTGAGGGATTCTCTGAAAAATCCCTTGCACGGTTGATTTAGTAGCTGTCGTTGATTCTGAGAGAAAAGTGTTTATCATAGTACACATAGTTGTTATGGGTGTATTTCTACAAAACTGTAGGTGTTCTGCTACTTACTCAACGATCTTTTATGGAATTTGTTGAGAAGAACTGGAAGAGCAAATTCTCTTTGAGAGGGTAGAAAAGTGGGGGGAGGTTATCTGATGTCTCTGAGAGGAGAGGAAATTTGCAGAAAGAGCGTGGTAAACGAGAGGAAAATAATATTCTCCATGCATTGTTGTAGCAGGAATTTCGAGAAATGCTGAACGATTTGTGGAGATTATCGCTTCTTCGAGCAGTTCTCCTTTTAATGCTTTTCGCAAAAAAGTTCTCAGGAAAGGAATAGGAAACTTAAAAAGTATTTATAGTCACAACTAAGCCCTTATATTGTATCTGCCCCGACCCACTTGCTAGCGACCCGTAGGGTCGCTAGTATGGAATGATATGCATAATTTTTTTAAAAAATGTCGTTGAGGAAAACTCGTCGTTTCGAGACACGACGCATGCATTCGCACTCTTGCCGCTGGGCAGACTAATCAGCTTCAGGCGGAGCGGTGCAGAAGGGCGAACACCCTTCTCGTTTTGATAATGACCGAACAGTTGCTGGGACAGCCATTGATAAGGGTCGAATGGAATCAAACCTATGGTCTTCTTTTGTTCGCTCGTATGAGGCTATCTTTCCATCATAAATTCTAATGAAAAAAAGAACATGAATAACTCCTCATAAAAGTAGGATACGACTCCAGACCCAACTCAAAACATGCTTATTTTCTCGTTTTTGATATTATAAACCTGGCGATAGCGGGGTATATGTCAAGATGAACGATAGCTGGTAACAGTGGCGCTCGGGGTCATGAACTGGCAATAACGTGTTCGCTCGAAGCTCCGCCCTACTGCGGCAGACGAGTTTCTCGGACGATATGAAAAAAAAATAACTTTTGATAGTGAGATATAAGCTTGTTGCAAGCTGGGGTGAAGCTTGACTGTTTACAGAATCTTATTTTGTTTTAGTTTCTTTTTTTGGCAATCAATGACAAACTGAACTTCAGAGTGCACATCAAAGCATATTCAATATGGTAACAAATTAGAGAAACACTTTTTCAAGCATTTTCGAAACAATTTCCTCATACCTGCAATGAAAAATCATTTTGGACAAGCCTACTAGGAACAAATAACTGAAACACATTAGAAAGAGCTTGCGAACTAATGCTATAATGAAAAATGATCTAAAACTGATTTTCAATTAAACTGAAATTTTGAAATCTACTGTTATCCAAACTGCAACCAACTGAAGAAGCATGAACGAAGTATTAGGAAGTTTTCTAATAGCTGCAACGCATTCCTAGGCTAATTAACAGGGGGCGGAGCGACCGGCGCACCGCGTACGGTACCCAGCTGGCGGCTGGCACATGCTATCGTTCATCTTGACCGCCACCCGCGATAGCGCAGTTATTTTGGATGGTTTTTGCACTCAATGAGCACTCAAGAAGCAGCCGACTGCAGCGCTGATCAGTCAAAGCTTCGCTGCGCGTTGGTTTTGTCCATACCTAAACAGCGAGGTATGTATCAAGCCTTAAGGTTTATAACAAATTGTGGAAGTCATGAAAATATGCACTAGATTATACAGAACCATCGGAAGAAGACCACAACCTGAGAAAATTAAGGCAAATGAAGCATACCTTTCCACCACCAGGATTCATCTGGAGCAATCCCAACATCCTAAACACATACAATCTATAGCAAATTCCACAAATTATCTCACAAACGTACCAATGATTGTCCCAAAACAAAGGCATCACAACAAGTTCCCTTCGAACTAAATCCATGATGAAAGGAAGTAATTCTTTATTCTTTTTCTTCTGCCTGCCAAACATAGCTACTGCCTGGAGAAACCGTGCTTTCTCAAAAATAATATTGTTTTTAGGAATTACCTTTTCAGGTGTGATCTCTTTATCTGTGCCATCTCTGATTTCCTTTTCACACTTCCTTCTAATAAGTGTGTAACAGTCGCTATCGTAAAAGATTATCTGATTTCTGGATTTACAATCAAACCTTAGCTATCAGAACTAAACAACGCCAATACAACCTTCCACAAGTATTACGGAGCACTACATATGGAATGTAATGCTTGAAGTAAAAAGTCGCCAATGACCCGGTCATGAACGCTCCTGATGGCATACAACGCCTGATAGAGTCCAAATTGACAGTCACGTCGCCGTCAAATTTGATCGAGGTTGGTTCTTCCTAAGTTGCAAGGACAATTTTTGAAAAATCATCAACCAAAAAGCAACCTTGTCGGAGCCATCATCGTCGACGAGCTCATGCTGGATGGTCTCAGTGACATCAGGCACTGATAATTTTGTAGTGTCATCCTATCACATAATCTCGTATTTCGATACAAATATAAACGTATAGTTGATTCATTGACCGGACTGGACATCAATGCGGAGCACGCGCCGTTAGGTAAAACGCTTGCCCCACTACAAATTCGCCGTTGTACAAGTTGTGCTCTCGCGACATTCAGCCGCGCCGCGCGTGGTCCGCCGAGTTGAGCAGTCCGTGCGGTCAATGAATCGACGATACCTCTGAAGCTGACGTAGTCTCAGGTGCAAGAAAATCTTCGGGGAAGTCATCAATCTGCGCGTCAGAGCCAAGATACATATTCTGGTAATCATCTGCGCTCTAGAACACAAAACTGCAGAATTTTACACTTTTTTGTGCTTCTCCTAAGCAAACGTTACTGAAGAAGCATGATCACGTAAGTATTTGTCACTAACACAATGCTAGCAGCTGTAACATTACACTAAAGTACTTTGGCGATGTATATACATCCGTAAAATGTATACATGATCCATGACACGCAAGGACTGGGTGCCGTGCGTCCGGCCAAGATCAGAGAGATCAGAGAGACGCCGATAGGTCCGCAGTCTTTGCGTGCTATGAATCGTCTAAATATAACCATGATATCACCACTTTTGATGATGTCACACTAGCTGCGGCAGTATCAAATCAATTCTTGATCACAAAAATCTAGACTCACCATCGAATTACTTGCCTCGTTGTTTACGGCTACACCTTCAAATGTTCCATTCACATAGCTCAAAATCGCATCACAGTCGGGGTCAGACAGCATGTTCTCTTTTGAAGAGTAATCTACGGTCGCGTTGTAGCCAGTACCGGGGGCGCAATTGGTTAGGTCACCATAAGCGACTTCCTGGATAACTGGTTCTCCAATTTGTAGCGTATTATGGGCGCTGGTAGCAGTCATCTCCACCGAAGACGGCTGAGCGGTACTGCAGGTCATACAGTGATTCTTTTGGATTGGCTCGCTAACATGGAAACTCTGAGTCGAAGCTTGTGGATAGTCTTCCAATTTTTCTCCAAAGTCATTTCCAGTATTTTGCTTAACGTTGTTATCGTCGAGGTTATTATCATTACTGGCGCTGGTGTCATAAGAGTTGTTAGGCTTGCTACTGCCTTCGTCCTTCTTTTCCCTGTTCTCTTTTGAGGCTAGAAATCTGGCATATCTCTCAACAAGAATGGCACTGTAGACGAGATCTTCGTTTAGATCCACATCGGATAAACCTGCAACTATTTGGTTATAACGAAGATTAATCGCAAAACTTTCCATAAACTGGAAAACTCGAAAATCTTGGGGATTTGCTGAATTTTATATGCAACATCGGTCATGTATGCGCAGCTCATCTACGAAATATAGTCATTAAGGCATAAGGCATACCTCGCGCGATTCCGGTCGCTGCGCGATTTCACAACGACGACTCTTAGTAATTCGTCGTTAGTGCGCTTTCTTTGGTCAAAACTTGATCTATTCGCACCAACTTACACAAGCTACCCGCCTATGCGTTCGAGAAGCGCGCACGATAATTTTGTAGAAATCTGGCAAATCGCCAAGTCGCGTGAAGGTGGCGATTTGGCCGAATCGCGTGAGGTATGCCTTAGGCCTAAGACAGGCTTCAGACCCCGCCGGAACCCGCCCAAAGCCAGAATGAGGAGTTTGGGAAAAAGATATGCCTAGATAATGGCATCTTGGAGCACAGTGGAAGCGACGAGCTTTTTGCAATGTAAATATAGATTACAAATAACTCAACTGTATTTCATTTTCTTGTGCACTTTTCAGACGAGTTCCACCGGGTTCGGATGGGTAGCGCCGGGCATCGGCTCAGTCTGAAGCATGCCCGCATGAAAGGGATCGACCATAGGTTACCAGCAACTGTTGCCAAGTTGCTGAGGTTGCCGAGATTGACGAGGTTGCTGGGGTTGCCATTTAGAGAGGGCACAGCACACAAAGAGAGAGTACTAGGGGGTCACACAACGACCGGCAGCCGAGCAAACCTCGGCAACCTTGGCAGCCCCTGCAACCCCGGCAACAGCTGCCGGCAACCTCTTGCCGATCCCTAACTTTTGCTCCGACGTGCAAAACGGATTACAATTTGCATAATTGTCACCGAATTTTCCCAAATAAATGAAAAAGCGGTAGACCGACATTATCCTTTACAAAGCTTTCTGAATGCGCTGAAACAAAAGGTAACTTTTTTTTTGTCACTATCTGGGGCATCAAGTAACTGATGAGTATCGGGCAGCCATGTAGAATATAGAGTAAAAGGGCTTAACAGTCTAAATAGGCTTCATTAACAACTTGCGTACAACAAATCTGACGGCTAATATGAGACCTTGCAGTGAGGAAGTTTGCGCGAAAGCAACTATGCACGTAGATGTCGTTATGCTCGCAATTCATGGGTAGAAATGGCTATGAGCGCCATAGCTAACGTGTTTGTCCGCACCGACAAAACGTCGATTGAGCGTGACCGGTTGAATATACTACGCTACACTTACATAAAGCAAGATCGAATATGATAACGATTTGCAAAAAAAGTCCACATAAAGCAACCCACTTTTGTATCTAAATTTGGTACCGAAACAGCTTCCCAGCTCAGACTGTATAGTAGAAACACTATACTGCTTATCAAGTGGCCTCAAAGAACACACAATATCGTAGCCTCTGAAAAACTTGAATATTGTCAGTGTTTTTTATAACTGCAGTGCCAACTCACTTGATTGGTTCAGTCAGTTTCGGTCGCATTTGTTCACGACCAAAATCATTGAGCAAAATAACCACTAGATAGCTTTTGCGTGAGCATTGGCAGAGCTGTTGTGTGAGTAAATTTGCGAAAAAAAAGGCGAAATAAAGACTTACCACAACTCGAGCAATGTGGTTATCTTGGATGTAAACAGAAACACACACGGAGTTCTTATTGGCATCTGGAGCCGCGATTCCAAAGCTGATAGTTCCTTTGGAGATGGAAAGATTGTTGACCGGTTTAAATCCTATATCTCCAATGAGTACAGCCTTCATCTAAATTACGAATTGAAGTATTCGTTGTTTTTTCGCATATACGTTGTTGCGGAACCCGCAGGGATCACATCGCAGGAATTGCAGGAATCAAATGGTTAGTATGGCCGGTCCCTTAGGCTCCGGCAGACTTCGCTCAAAAGCGCCCAGAAGAACTCAAAAGCGCCCAATTTTCTCTAATGTCTCTTCACGTTTTCGTGTGAGGAGAGATGAGAGAATAAGAGAAATTTAGGCGCTTTTGGGCGCTTTTGAGCGAAGTCTGGCCGGGGCCTTAGTGACAGCAGCCGTTCAAAGAAAATACCATTGAGAACACTTCTCAGTAACAAGATCAATTTGTAATCTATCGCAATCTGGGCAACATATTACAAAAATGAGATAAAACACACAAGCAAAGATTAGTTGAATGTGTGCAAAGCGTTTCCGAATCTCCTAAACTCTAGCAACTTCTGACGCAAGAAAAAGTACTGCAAGAATGTTTAGCTTTGAAAGACACATTTCAAGTCAGCATTCAAAGGCGCATCTATTGTTGTCCACTTGAGCAGGAAAAATTAGTGAAAATCTTTCAGTGTAAAATTACTTGGCTGTTCTGTCTCGTAAACTCAGTCCATAGATGATATTGGCCTACAGGTAATAATGGTGACATTTGTTTTGCAACATGAATAGACACGACCACTGCTAATTACCTACTATCATACGGAATTATTTGGTTGGTGCAAAAAAATCTTGTCCGGTTTGCAAAGTTTCACCTTGATTAGCTCTACTATGTATGTCCAATTTTATGATTTTGATTATATTCAAGATCATCAAAAGAAGTAAACCTTTCTTAGCTTAGCGTGCACTAGCGCATACTGATATCGCAAACGGGAAAAAACCATGATCAGACCGAAAGTTTTCCTTTGAAAACCTCGCTTTTGAAAGTTTACCACTCTTTTTGGGTTTTGTTGTAATATCTGCTAGTAAGATTGTTTTGTAGAAACAAGGCAGTAGTATATTGCATATGAAAAGACTTCAACGAAGAGGCTTTGCGGAAAGAAAAGATGAAAATCCAAAATTATTCACTTTTTTGAAACTGATTGTAGTAGGCGTGGAAGTCCCAAAGTCTGAAAATTCTCAATTCTTCATGTACTGAACAGCTAAGTTTTTGTGCAAAAAGTGTATGTAAGACGTCCTAATCTCATGCTTACAAAATGAGCGAAGCTCTGGCGAGCCTTATGCAGAAAAATTTTTGGCCCATAGACTACCAGCATCGAGTATCCATTTGGTGTGCCGATTTCTCAGTACAAATGATAATAAGTAAACGATATCTGTCCTATACAGTAGCCGTGTTTTCAGTAAATTTCGTTCATCTGCTCTTAAGATATGGCCAAGAAAGTAAGTGCAATAAAAGTTGACAGCGAGTGTGTATAACGCTGATGAAATCTAACTATCGCGGATGGAAGCCCAATCGCACCACCGTTAGGCCCCGGTCAGACTTCACGCGACTTAATCGTCGCGATCTAATCGCCAAGATTTCCATTCATTTTCACTTCACATTCAAAAATTTCGGGCTGGAAAAGTATCACAACCGAATGCAAGTTGATTGGCATGGAATGATGTTGTAACAGTTGTCTCGTCGCGATTCAGTCGCGACGATCAAATCGCGTGAAGTCTGCCCAGGGCCTTAGACAGTAAATGAATAAAGCTTTCAGGCGATATTCAAAATCTATATCGAACGAGTACGTTTGATGGGAAAAAAGTCACGAAAAGAGCCAGCGAAACGGACATTATTTTTACACCAACCTAACAAATTCGACTAAGGTTTTCATGACTTCTTAAAGATGGTTTTCGTAGATGAAGAGGACAGAAGCGATTCTGTAAGCTCTTGGTAGGCACTTCAGAATAGGCTACGGAAGATTGAACATCTCTTGTAAACTGCCAAAAGGTGAATTCAACAAAGTGGAATCTGAACTTACATGCAAGAAAATCCAACCAGCTTCCGTATCGGTTTCGCTGTATACAGTTTGTTTCTCTTCACCACTACCATCGAACACAACAGCTGCAGGTGGTTGCTCTCTCACCGACTGTGGAACCGAAGATGTAGCCTGTAGAATTTGTGGAGGTTTCTCCTCTCGTTGTACGATTGGAGTGATCGGTGGACGAGCTGCATAACCCTGTGGATAAGCTGGCCTGATATTACAAGGATCAATTCTTGGATAGTTGCCAGCGATCTGGCCAGGTGGAGCTGCCACGTAGACCGTAGGACGATAAGGATACGGCTGACTGTTCATCTGGTAGAACGATTGCATAGCAGGCTGACCAGGACGGGCATAACCCTGATATGTCGGTGCAGCAGTATACAAAGGTTGAGTAGCTTGCACTCGTCGACTTGCAGGCGGAGGTTGCTGCATAACCGGAGGTGCGTTGGTTGCCTGGTTAGTGTATATGATCTGACGCATCGGTGCCAAACTTCGCGATCTTCCATGTTTTGCTGTGTTCGGCGGACAGGTGCGACCAATATTCTGTTGGTAGTTCATGTTTGTTAACTTCTGAAAATAAGAACTTTGCTAGCGTACTTATAATTAACGCATTATGGATAACGCCATCAGAATATCAATAGTAACAGAACAGCTTTCCTCTCATCCTAATAAATTACTGATGGTGTCTAGTGTAAAGATCGCCGCTAAACAAAAGCTGGATGACCATGCAGCACGTCATTACTATCCAATTTTTTTCTTTACAGTGGGAATCATAGGAGCAACGTTGCAAAACGTATAGGTCATCTATGAAATTGTGACGACGGACTTGATTGCGGACTTCATGCCTATAGAAGCATGAAATCATAAAAGAAGACATCACCTCAACGCTCAGCTCAGTCACTTCCGGTCTCTAAATACTATCATACGTATGTAAGCAAAAAACCATTCGACTAGAGGTAACATAGGGTTATGCCTATGAATAAATGAAATGAAATGAAAAGGTAAAGACAAGAAAATGCGGTTTCTGGAAGTGCCGTGCGTGTCGCGCGCGGTCGCGCCATCGTCACGATTTTTCAAATGCCCTATACATAGTCACGGACATTCCGCACTGCGAGTTTCCTAGTGAACGACAAGGGTTTTTCGTGGTCCGCAAGCGCTGCACTACATACAGCTTTCGGAGCGGTTTCGTGATGGTGAGATCAGAGGTGCAGTCTCAGTCATGTGGTCCCACTACGATATGCTACTCGTGGACGCGTTAGGCAAGTGCCAGACTGGGTAGGGGGCTATATTTCACCGATAGGCTCCACCCCGCGTGGAAAGTGGATACAAATTTGCAGCATATGCTGCATGTGTGGCTGCGTAGCCTGTTGAAAATGTCCGCTCGGGACCACCCCCCTCTGGCGACATCCAGTCCTCCACCCTGCCAAACTTAATTAACTGGTTCAACCGGTTTAGTGAGTTCATACCATTCGCTATTGGTCCATACTGTGATTTTACCAATAGCGAAAGGGTGAACCGCGTAAACCGTTTGAACCGGATAAGTGTGGTAGCTTAGGCCTCGGGCAGGGTTCACGCGATTTGATCGTCACGATTCAATACAAGGCAATTGCATGTCTTCTTGTATTTCGGTTGTGATAGTTAGCCACGTGTTGGAAAACTATCACAACCGGAATACAAGAAGATCGGCATGCAATAATATTGTTAGAGTTGTCTTGTCGCGAACAATCGTGACGATCAAATCGTGTGAATTCTGCCCGAGGCCTAAAGGGCCGGGCATACTTCACACGATTTCAGTCGCGACGCGATTTGGCAATATTCCAACTGTCTATATCTCACTGTAAACACATTTTAAATGTACAGAAGGTTAAGCATTATATCAATCCACGTAATTTATACACACTATGTATGTGCAATTTGCTAGTGTTGGATCTGAAGACTTCTGGCGAAATGCCAAACCGCGTCGCGACTGAAATCGCGTGAAGTATGCCCGGCCCTTAAGGCGCTTATATTCGGAGTTGACATGTCAAAATTACCAAAAACAACCACGTGGTGGTTTATATGGGAACAGTTCTGGGGGTGCACCATACCTTGCGCAGCTCTTATATTTATGCATATTCGCGTAGATTTTGTATACTGTCACAAACGCATCAAGTTTTTTTCCCAGCAAAGCGCTTTAACGCCCAGTGATGAAAAGTCGCTGCGTAGTCGCACAGGACTGAATCGAGTGAGATATGCCTCGGGCCTGGACCACTCTGGTAGCGATTTTTCGCAATTGTAGAGATAAAGGTCTTGTTCTAGTTTGCTATTTAGTAAATGAATCACGTATAAATGTAAGATCGCGAAAATACAGCAATATTAAAAACTATGATTCAAGACTAGCCCGCAATCGGAAGGTCTGTGCTCATAAGTTTTTAGTTGTTTTGAAAAAAAATTTGGAGCATAGTAGTGTATGACAGATCAGAACAACACGTTGAGTCAAAATTGCTCAAGTCCAAGAATGAAAAGCAGGAAAGAAAGAAACGAATGAATTGAGACCGGCCATACTACTCCTGTAATTCCTGCAGTTCCTGCGATTTCTGTGATTCCCGTGGGCCCCGTAACAATGTATAGTGCAAAAAAAAAACAACGTAATTCACAAAGCGCTCCGTAGTGCGGCACATTCAAAGACGAGGAGTCACAGTAACTGCAAGATACAAGGTCGCAGGAACCATCTCCTGGAATAGTATGGCCGGTCCCATTGTCATAGGACGAAACAGCATCAAACTAACTGCGGCGCAACTACCCTATTTTCAGGTGTACAGTCGGTTTCATCCCGGATTAGGCGAGACATTCTACCTACGTGGAACAGCGCATGCGCATCGCTGGAGGCTTCGCGAGCGCATAGCGCTGGCATTTTGCCGAGCAAAGACTAAGGAGATTGAAGAGACGCAGACATGGGTTCTCAGCACGACAGGATATACTGTAGCTGCGAAACGGCGCGAGCTGTTGCGAGGCGGACTCCCGCCAGTCCAATTTCTGCCTAAAGCGGGTCGAAACTTACTGTATAAGCCGCACCCTCTTTGCTCTAAACGCGAGCAGACCCAGGCGTGCCGCCGCGCATATGTCTCGCGAAGCGGTCGCCTTATTTCGTACTGCTCTCACTTAACGCGCTCCATGATGACAGTCAGTCTTTTGGCGTGTTCGCCTTTAGAGTGAAAAGGGTGCGGCTTATACACCTGAAAATAGGGTAATCGCACGCAGCTGGCTGACGGGCGGTTTTCTCGCGGCAGGACCACGTTGGTGGCAGCAACTGCTATCCTGCGCATCGGTACCGTGCGATAGCCGTGACCTCATGGAAAAGGGGATGGTTGCTTGGGTGAGCTTGAGGAAGACGAACAAGGTTGAACTTTCTTCTTCTGCATTGCGTTTCGTTTCTAGTCCTATGAATTTTGCGTGCACATGTGGTAGGAGTTCTTCCACACTCCGCATTTTATATGCAGAATCTACATCTGATGGTAGTTTATGAGATTCTTGCATTCTATTCAGAACCGTCCCTTTCTTTATTTTTTTCGGTGCGACAACTGAGCGAAAATCTTTATTCAATAACAAGTAATGGTCCGTCCGCATAATATTTTCGTGGAAATATTTAGAGTTTCATCGGAATAACAGCACATTTTTTCTCGCTTCCACGGGGTGAATGCATACGAAGTGAGGAGGAATTGCTGTATACAGTCGACTGCAATTTTCCAGTCGCTTGGTGTAATCGCACTACTTCCAGTTTGCACTAGCAAAATGACGTCAAAGTGTGGGACCTTTTTCATTTAGCGCAAGTTGGTAACCTTTATTACTTTTTGCTGTTTTCGAGACTCAATAGAGCATTGCCAGCGGGCTCAACTGAAGATTTCCAAAGTTGTGCAATAACACAAGGCAACAGAAAAAGTGGCGACGACCATAGTTGATACTCTGCGGGGTATAGGTACAATGTACACGGATGAACACTTCACTCTGACAAAAAAATCTAATTATGAGCCAGAAAAAGAATTAAAGTCTATCCTTCGGACGAGATTGATATGTAGGCGTGTTTGCAATTTCATAACACTATTTTAAAATGTACAATGGAATGACAATAGAACAACGATATTTGATGAGAACGCTTACGCAATGATTTGTAAGATCTAAGGAAAATTCTTGCACACCAAGAAAATTTTGAGCTTGTATCTTGGTGTAGCTATAGCTTAATATAGTTTCTTGTTTCAGACTCATCCTCGTCCTAATAACCAGTACGTTGTGCATTCACCTTTTCCCTAAATCAGAACAATGTTTTGATTATCATCTTTTCGCAAGAAAAAAAACAAACCTTGACGGGGATTGTTCCTCGAAGCTCAGTTCTATATTCTGGATAGTACTTCGTGATCATTTCATTGGAGCATTCAGACATTTGGATTTTCTCAGGTTCTCCCGTTGATTCCATTCTTGAAGCCGTGTTTACCTAAATTTCAAGCTTGTTTAGAATCTCTCGATTGAGTCATTATTTTCTGAACATACCGTATCGCCGAAAAGACAATAACGAGGTGCTGTCAAGCCAACCACGCCAGCAGCCACGGAACCAGTGTGGATTCCAACACGAATGCGAAGGCGGATATTTTTGCGATGTGGAATTTCGAATGTTTTGAGGACCTGTAAAACAGCCAATTCTCTTCGACCGATGAATCTCTTCTTCAAGATGGTCATTTCCTACCTCCATAATTTCCAGTGCAGTATCGGCTATGTGCATTATATGTCTATTACCATTTTCTTCAGGTATACCTGACACGACCATATATGCATCACCAATTGTTTCTACCTGAAATTAAGTTTTCCGTATATTGTATTCGTCGCACGCAGAGACAGGACGCTACTACGGACGGTGTCGGCGTCTTACACATTAAACACACTCTCATCCGCCTAACCGTCTGGTCTCTCTCTTTCTCAAAAACGTGCTATCTGACGCAACGGAGTCCAGTGTCTGCGTGCTATTGTGTAGACGTTGTGTTTTTTATTTTCAAAATTTTCTAGTTCAGGTATCAACAAGAGCACTGTATACAAAGTCTGTCTCTATGATCTGCTCGGATGGATTTCTGCTTGAATTTTTAGCCTGTAACATCGGTAGAACTCGTCGAGAGAAGTAAACTTTCCAGCGCTCTTATCGCGAACATTTTATCTGTGCCCGCTTTACTAGCTCAAGCTGTTAGCACTACTACTCGCGCAAATGTTGTCAGCACCGCAGACGCACTTTATTAACGGTTGAATCTATTATAATAAACAGTGTCAAAGTCGGAAGACGGGATTGTTCCCGAAAATAATTTTGTAGCATTGCTTGCTCATTTTGGTCATTTCCCGATTTTCCGAAGATGCTGAAAAATGCAACATGCTCATGCTTTTCGCTTTTACCGACCTTCTTACTTCACTGGTAGTGAAATTATAACCGTGTGGGCAGAATTGAATGAAGAAGTGGTGGTCTAATTAACAGGAGCAAAGCCGGTTTGTCCAAATTTAACAAAATTTTTTATGTGTTTGATTCAACCTATCAGTTACATTTTTTGAATCTAAACGCTCGCTGAGCTTACCTTGTAGCACTGATTTTTGTTGATAATATCATCGAATTTGCTATAAATAGCGTTGAGCATGTTGACGACCTCCAGCGGAGAGGATGACGAGCATATCGTAGTGAATCCCACGATGTCGCTAAAGAAAGAGCAGTTAGTTACTACATGAAGATTATCCAAAAGCACTATTGTATCATAGCACTAAGTTTTCATTTTGTAAAGCACCTTGAAAGGGCTTGACGGATTTGCTATGGGCTTGCGAGTGCAAAAAGATAACAAAAGGAAGGGCGCTAATGACTCGAATTCCTCACAGTCTTAATCTGTATCTAATAATAAGAATCCTACCTGAAGAATACTGTAGCTGAGGAGAATGTTTTTGGTGGAACAGGGCGGCCCAATTTGAGCTCATTGGCAACATATCTGGAACAATTTGGTTATGCTCCAATGCTGAATGTAATTCATCAAATTTAGCAACTGAGAAACTTTCAGGTTTGCACAATTATTTCAAAAGGAACTCTCAGATACGCAGTTCCAAATCTCAATTTCCAGTTTTCAAAGGATTCTAGGATGCAAAACTTGAAGATGGTGATTCTAACCGCGAATAATTCATGGTATCCAAGTTTCTGAGTCTCCTAGATGACTCATAGTTTAGCAATATATCAAAATGTAAATGCTCACGCTGGTAAAAGTTGACTAAGCAATTTATCAGCTCTGATATTTGCTTCCTCTAACATTCCAGTTCTTTCCTGTACAAGCTTCTCGAGATTGTTTGCGTACTGAAATCAAAAAAAAATTAGTATTTGAAGAGACATATACGAAGATAATGCACCTGTTCCATCATGCGCATCATTTGATCGACAAGGGATCCTTTTCTGAAAAAAAAGTATGAATTCATATGTTTCGGTGGGCAATGAGTGTGAGCACATAGGCCTCATATTAGTGGAAAGACTCTACAAACTTGGAAACAAAATGCTTTGGAAGGGCTCGTTTTTGAATTTTTACTTTGAGACTTTTTAGTTGCTGCAATTTTTCGCTACAACAATTGTTCTTTTATTTGTTTGCATGTTTTACTCACACTTTGAGGTAACTCTCGGTGTTAAGGCGAACCCTTCGAATTGATGGTCGAACTTCAGGATTCTCGTTCCAACAGTCAAGCAAGAGAGCTGTTAGATCAGGATGGATCTCACTCTTGTCTTGAATGGTTGGACGGTAAGTCTTCTGGCCATCTTGGATATACTCGATAAGTTCTAAAAAAATGACAGTTAAAGTCAAGCGATTTTTAGCATCAAATGGATATCGTCTTACCATCAATGTTGGTAGCATTGGGAAAGGGTAGAGAGCGGAAAAGAATTTCGTACATTACCATACCGAAGGCATAAATGTCACCCATTTGGCGACGGGCTTGGGTTTGTTTGATCCAGGACTGAAAATATAATTTCACTTCAAAACAACTACTTACGGCGTATGTGAAATATTCGCAGGGGACCAGAAAATTCTAGTCTTGTGTTTATGCAAAATTAGCCACACATAACTTGAAATCTGCCGTGAATTTTTCAAATTTCTGTTACTTAGTGGATGACAATAACCCTGCTTTCACTTTGAATTTGAAAATTTTTGTTGTTTTTTTTTTGCTTTTTGGAAATTTGTTATTCTTCTTTTCCGACAAACACATCAATATTACCTGATCGGCTCGTCGAACTCGGTTCTCCTCTCGATTTCTCAGTGCTTCTGGTGGTTGGTAGAGAATACCTGAAAATAATATTGCTCAAAAATTGGTCATTATGATTCCCAGTATCCGGGTAGCATCATGGCGGACCAGGAGCCATGTTGCTTACGTAGTATGGATTGTCCGTAGCCTAAATATTTCATATATGTTCTTGAAACAGCTTATGACATAAAAACGGCTTACTGCGTTAAAACACAGTCGTTTAGAGTCATAAGGCTGCAAATGTGGCTAAAATTTTTAAGGGCTACCCGTTCAGCTCAAATTTGTCTATCCCCTCAAAACAACCCTGCCGTCACCACATCTCTAGCCTTGAAAAAAAAAACGTACTTGTTTTCTGCAGGGATCCACTCTTTCCGTCGTCATCTCCTTCTTTGAGGGTTTCTGTGGAAATTAAGCCTTGTTTTTCCCACCGTTCCAGAGGATTCGCAATACCTGAAATATTTCCATTAGGGAGCGTGAATTACCGTGATCTTTTGACCTACCGAAATCAGTAAGTTTGACCATCCAGTTCCTATCAATCAAACAAGCCCAAGGTGTAAGTGAGCCATGATAACCTATGGGAGACGAATGAAGATATTCGAGGCCCTAAAATTTTGCCATCATGCGCTTAGGGTACTCCTGAATTCAAGTTCATAGTTTATATTTACTCTTGTACTTAAATACGCGGTTACCATACCCGTACCCTTTGCTTCGACCAGATTGCCTGCTGGAAGGCGGTGGTTCATGAGGCGCCGCGACACAGTCTGCGCCTCCCTCGCGAACATGCTCTCTTATTATTTTCTAGCCTTAAGTAGGTCGCGGAGCCCCGCCTTCCAGCCGCCGATCTCGTTGAAGCAAAGGGTGCAGTAGCTAGGGTCATGATCATTGCGAAATTCATAACTTACTAGTTCTTCACTTACCAAGGTAATGTCTCTGACGAAAGCACCATGGAACTTAGCATCCATCACCATATCATGGTTGTAGATAATATCCTAAATTAGCAGCCAATTAATATCTGCATCCTAAACCACTGCCAATACCGTACCTGTACAGTACCACGAGAGCAGAATTTCCATAGCAGTACCATTTCATCTTTCTCGTTAAATGACATTCCAAGGAATGGATTCAAGTTGTCATGAATAGCTTGTTTCATCTGCAAGGCATCGTATCTGTATCGTATTCTACCCCGATTACCGTAACCTGGGAACTGACCTGTGTGAGCAGCTGCATATCCTCCCTATTGAAGGTGATTGGGCGTCGTTGTGGGTAGACATGGAATGAAGCATGGGTGTTAGTTCCAAGTACTGCATGATGCTTTGCAAACGATGATGTGTTGGATAGCTTGGTCCTCGTTGAGCCTATCGATAGCTGTAAGGCGAAAATTCGGATACGGTATGGATTACTGTGGCTCTAGTAGCTCTAGGTAAGATGTGCAAGGGGGAATGGGTCGTTTATCACGAATTTAGGCTGTTGCTTGAGCGATAGTCATATCGAACTGGCGTGCAATCTATTCACGCTTTCTATTCTTCTTGAGGTTTCATATTGATAGGGTAAACATAGAAATTCAGGTTGGGGTTCTCTTCCCTCCCCCCACCCCATCCTTCATCCTTCCCCTATTTGTTTGGGACTTCTCTTGAGGAATGGTAACTTGGTGAGCTAAATTAAAAGCGGCCGTTTACCCTTACAATCTTCAGATATCTTGTCAGTAAGGCAAAATCAGTCTTAATGGCATGGATGGGTCCCGGATGGAAATACTGAAGTCGTACGGTCCAAAACAATGCCTACAGCGATTAACAGGTAGGAGGGATTAGTAATTCTTGAATAAAGCCATAGGGGCACTCTTTACCCTCAAACTTACCATGGAACGAACTTCATCTTCATTGATAACTCTGAAATCTTCACGATAAATTCTCCACGGTGTTTTGGCCAATGCACGATTTTCGCTGAAACAAGTGCAAAACCTTTTTATGTTAGATCACGCGCTTTACAGCCTACAATATTCTTTGGGAATAGACCTGCAAAATGGTTTTTTGAGAATAAAGCGTACCAGATTCGAATGGTGATGAGAGCAGCAACTATGGCTAGCAGAAGCAGTAGCATCAGTGAACCAGCGATGATGATCATTGTGTAATCACAGCGTTCATTACGGTAACCGCAAGCAGGTTCTTGTTTCGGGAGCGAACCGTCAGGAGATGGCCAGAATCCCGTCATGACATCGGTGATGTGCTGAAATGGAGCATTTTCAGATTTCTGCACCTTTAAAAATAAGTTGACGCACTAAATCAAAACATCCAGTTCTCGTTTTCAAACCATCACAGTTTTTGATCAGCTTCGGTTCAATCTCATTGATTTTCTTTACATTATCGCTGTTGGCCGGGACATAGAAGGCTAAAAAATCAAAGTCGAGTTAGTGGAACTGTCAAGACCCATGCCGCACTACCCTACTCTACCGTACCACCCTACCTGCATAAACGGGCGCACGTTCAGCAATATCGTCCATCATTACAGTTCCTGAGCTGACACCAGCCGCGGATACAAGACCTACAAAGTTCCCAAGTAGATTTTACTTCAATGTAAGTCTTCCATAACTCCATGATTCTACCCACCTGGGAAGGTGATTCGTCTCATTTGGTTCCATACGAATCGTCCATCTTGGTAGATGTTCTCGTTTCCGGTCATGTTCATCGAAGTTCGGACAGCTATGGCATACAATCGCAATGCGTCATACAAGTGTATGTAGCCATAGACGTTCCTCTGAAGGGGGAAAATTTTTTCTTAGTTATGAGATATGAATCTTTTTTCTTCCGTTTTTGAATATCCTTCAGATCTTTTCCAAAAATTTGTAAAGTATTCTGTGGAAATTTGGAATTACTTGATCTGTTGGATTTGTAGTTGAGCTGTTTTTTTATTTGAGATTTTTCTTTGATGTAGAGTTGCTGGTTAATAAAAATGTTTTGTCAATTAAGCTTCTTACCAAATCCAGGTCATCAACAGTCATTCCATTAGCTTCAACTCGCTCACGGAACGGTGTCACAAGAGTGTCGTCAAAGCCGTTCACGTCATCTATCTGGAATAGGAATTGACTTGCAGTAACTGCTAAATTGCACATACGAAAATCAAACTTACAATGAGCGAGTTAGCAAAATGATCCTTGACATTTTGCTGAATTTGGCCGTCCTCGCCAATCCACGGTGAAACGTCTTTAGTCTCGGTCTGAAATATTTGGCTCATTATTCCGTTTCATCTGAAGATTGAGTGTTTCTTGAAGTTGTTGATTACCTGCAGCCAAGGCAAAATATAGACGAAGTCGTGGGTGTTCATTTTGTTCATGTATGCGGCTTTCATGAATTCTTTGGACATCTCGCGAGTCGATGAGAAAATGCAGATGATGACTGCAAAAACTCTTTTCCGACTGGAACCGCAGGTGATTATTCGATAGGAACTTACTCCTAGCATTGTTTGCCATTTCTTGAAGTAAACCGCTCTGTGACATTGCTTTTGCATCAGCATTTTCGTCGAACATGACCTAAAGTGTAAATTTTGCCAAGGACAACAAAATCGCCAATTTCAATATGTTGATAAACAACCATAGTAGCTTAATCGTTTTTACTCTGTAAGAAACGTAGTTCTGACAACTGAAAGCTTGTTAGTAGTTGAAACCTTGGGGCGTCACCCATCTTCCAATCATAATCGGGCGTTGATTTACCGTTATAAAGAGCACTCAACCGGGTGGCGGGCTCTTCTTTGTAAGAGTAAATCAGCGCCCGATTGTGATCGAGAGATTGATGACCGTCCCGATGTGCTTATTGTTGATGCGCATGTTGTCGACATTAAGTACAAGCCCTTTGGGCCCATACACCACATGTTCCCGTAATTCTGCGCTAACTCAAGTAAGAATGGCAGCTTCTTACTCTTATGTTGCTTGAACTGAAGCAAATGGGACAATTTTTGAATACGCCCCCCCCCCTTCTACGCCTTGAAGGCACGTTACAATCGACCGTTCACACGAAGGATTACGGTACCATACTGTAGCGCTGCAGGATTATCTGTGCTAGGGCTTACCTTTTTTAGAACTGTAATCTTGCGCATATGGAAAACTTCCTCAAATGCTTGCATCCTTTCAAAGGCCAGAGTACCGGTGTTAGTTACCAATCCCACCTGAACTCACTATTGAACTAGGAAAAAAACACAAAGCAACAACTAACATTAACAACAACCAACAACTAGCAACTAACTACTAACAACTAACAACTGACAACTAACAACTAACGACTAACTAACTAACAACAACTATTCTCCTTTTTTGTTCGTATCTCTTGTATATGGAACTCACCTTAACCCAATTGTAATGTAACAGAAGAGCAGCAACTGCTTCTGCCAGTGAATTTGTGGTTCTGAGCGAAACTCTTGCTAGCGTTTTGTAGATAGACTTATCCGCGAAAGCATTCGACGAAGCCATGTAGCCAACAATAGGCACGTTCCAGAATGTTGCCATTTTCGCGACAGCGTCAAGTTCTGTAGCGAATGGGTTACTGTAGCGATTGCACGAATCATGGTAGAAATCTGTAGCTTACCTGCGTTACAGTATGGCCCAATGAATGCGCGGACTTTCTGGACATGATACATATCTGCACCGACGGCTACACCTTCGAAAGCTTCACCACATCCCATTTGGTTGATAATTCTAAATTGCTTATTCACTGGAACCTGTTTGAGTATTGAGGTGCATACTTTTTGAGCCAAAATTCAGAGAAGCAGTCACAAAAACTTTTCAATACGTTTCTATTGAGAAACCGTTGTGAGCATACTACCTTGTATGGCCAAATGCTGCCCGACAGCCAAATCGAATTTTCTGAGTTTTGATTAGAAAAATGCTAGATGTTCACTTCTAATTATTAGTTTACAGCATACTCTTTCGACTGAGAAAGTTTCGCGGGTCGAATATGTCTACTAGTCACGATTTTCGAGTTCTTCACTCACAATCCGGTTTTGTTTTGAATAAAACCTTCACTGCATATAAATATGAACACATAGGTTTACTAAAAACACCGTAACTTCAATTGTTTCGCAAATATCTTATATAAAAGGTTCATATTAGTTTTGATGCATGACTTATTGATCAATCTAATATTGTTCAATTTCACAGGAAATCCAAGAGACATCTTTAGTCTTGAATTTGTCTATCATTCAGCGTATCTTTGTGTTTTGCTGAAGTTTATTCCTCTGATTGTAAGTGGACCCATTCAAGTTCTTCTGCGCTCCTACTGTACTAATAGCGTAGTTGTTTTCGCTAATGTAGAGGTCTTGCCGTTTAGCCGTGATTATCTCACGTTCACCATTAATCAAGCTAGATTGCAAAGGATTTTTCAACATATCAAGAAAATGAAGCTTTCCACATGATCACGAGAGAGTAGCGCAGGATTACATCCTAATTTTAGTAAGAGATCAATCTTCTTATTGTCATTCAAAGTTATTTGTTATTATGGGTCAGTTTAGAATTTGACAAGAGGCACTGTGCACTCCTCAAGCAAATATCCTAAGTAACAAAGACCATTTTGTGAAATCTTAAATTTTGTAAGGTCTCATAAGGTAAGGTTTCCGTTTTCGGTGGTAATGTACAGTGGCCTAAAAGTGATATAAAAAATTTCGTAAAATTTTTGTTTGTTCGATTGCCTCGGTCGCGTCTGATAGGCATCAAAAAAGCTTTTTTACTAATGAACAAGGAAGATCATCAGCAAGTTTTGAGTTTCAAAATGATAAATAAATAAGAATACAAGTGACGCGCGAAATTTCGTTCCTGTAGCACCGCTATCGCCTTACTACCGTAATCTCCTGACTAACTGAGAAGCTTATCGCATACATGCTAACGTTGCTCAATCACGTTAACGCGCATTATCGCCTAAAGCGTCTAAAATCTTCGAATTCAATCTTCGCTACGTTCGCGTAATTATTTTATGGTGGGAGCAAGAGGAACTAACTCTATGTCGAAATCCTCGTCGAGCACTCCATCGTTCCAAAGTTCCTTTCGAGAAATTTCCAAGATTTTCTCACCATTTTTCATATAACCAACGGCTCCGATGTGACCAACGCGGACCTAGAAGTGAAAGACTTCAGATACTTCTCAGGTGGTGCAGTTCCTAAACTAGTAAAAGCAGTTTAAGGTTGGAACATTCTCAGTTTCTCTCGCACTATTTGCCATATACATATAATCAAAATGACAGTATATTTGTTCGAAAGATTCTTGATCAGTTGACTACTCTACGTTTGTGCGGGGAATAGGTAAGGAAATAATGGTGCCCTGCTTTCATTGCTAATCCTCCACTCTTACCTGCACTTCTGAGAATCTTATAAATTCGCATAATTCTAAATCTCCCTCCTACGCTCTCCACGCACATCTTGGGTGCGTTCAGAATCGTCGAGAGCTTCCAAAGGAAATACAAATCCAAGATCAGACGAGAACTACGTCAGTGACCCGCAGCTCAAGCTCTTCTAAGTCGTGTCTATTTATAGGACTTTTGCGAGAGAGCAAAGTTTGCTCTCAGAAATCAAATAGGGCGAGTTAATTTGGAGCCTACTCTGCTTCTTCTATGCAAAACATTCGTAAGAATAGCTAGAATGGTTCCAAAGGAAAGGGAGCGATGACCTGGTTTGAAAAGATTGGAACTTTCAGATAAATGTAATTATGCCAGTTAGAGTAAGTTATAGATAGGGACTATATGGCACGAACTGGCTCGTTTCAGTGATTGTTGGCAATAGCTAAAAGTGGTCAGTTTTGAATGCTATAATTCCCAGTCGAATGCGCAATTTTTGCGCAGTAAATAAAAATAAATAAATAAATAAGATAAAAACTAAATTCATGAATAGTGTTATTTACAAATGAAAGACATCTGATTATCAGAATAAGTTTCTAAAGTGAATAAAAGTTATGATTGTTACATCAAACCTTTTCAAGATACTCTGATGGGAGAGAAGCATATTTAACGTATCCTAGACAGACAAGTGGAAATATAAGAGTAGAAAATACTTTAGTTTCACTGTACTAGAATTCCACAAAAGATCTCATTTTCCACCAATCAAATCTCAAACTGTCTACACAGAGAAGAAAATTTCCACAAACCTTTACTCCATTACTGAAGGGCGATATAATCAAGAAAATAAGGAATGCAAGTTGGAATCTCCAGCGAGTTGAGCAGCTTCCAACCATCATCGGGCAGGACAGGTGCGATGGATGAGAGCTATGCGGAATGACTACCGTCCACTACTAATTGACTCCTTTAATATAAGTATTAAGATCTGCCTAAAGAAGATTTGCGCTACGGGCAGCAATCACCTTAATGGAGTGTGAGTAGCATTTTGTTCTTAACAGCTACGTCGCCGCCGGTGCGTATGTACGCACTTTGGAATCCGAGAGCATTTGCATCGGATTAGTCGGATAGATCACGCGGATTTTTTCGAGAACTGCAAAGGAAGGGCGTTGACTGATATTTATGAAAGCACACTATTTTTGCCTGATATTCGATTTTCCTTGAAGGTTTTAGATAGAAGCAAAAATTGGTAAGTTTTGGTTTGTTTTTATCAGTTTACTTATGTTCAATTTACCACTTAATTTCCAGGAAGGCCATCCGACCTTTCTCTTTCGCCAGATAGTCAAGAAATGGTAAGAGATACCGTGTTCTTTTTTGAATCAGAACCTTTGCATCTAGTCTTCCTTGTCATTCGTACTTGCACTTGAGTCTCTTTTAATCAAGAGCATTGCAAATTAAAATTATTCATGACTTAGTCACTTGGAGATTTTCGCCAACTTATTGAGTTGATTCAATCGTTCTGTCCTCATAATTTTGAAGAAAAAAAACGTAACTACTCCCTACGTGAACGTCTTTGTTTACAAAACATGACATTAAGAAGGAAAATTCATCTATAATACTTTCTAACTAGCTGGCTTACCCGGCTCCGCCGTATCCGGACCAAACTTGGCACACATACACTTCGGGCCCCGGCGGGTGTCACAGTCCACTTTTCGTTATCGATCGATGTCGATTTTACCGATTTTTATCGATTTTTTTGCAGAGTTCACCTACAGGGCTAGGAGTTGGCACAGGGGGGGAAGTGAGCATGGGATTCCGAATACAATATTAGTTTTCAGAATTATCGATTACTTTTATTGATTTTATCGATTTTTTGTAAATTTTGACATGCGGGGCTGGGAGTTTGCACAGGGGGTAATCGAGCATGCAGATTACGAATACAATATTAGTTTTCAAGATCGTCCATTACTTTTATCGATTTTATCGATTTTTTGAAAATTTGAGCTAGGGGGCTGGAATTTGGCACAGGGGTGTAATCGAGCATGCTGATCACCCCCCTTGGGGATGATCAGCATGCTCGATTACCCCCCTGTGCCAACTCCCAGCCCCGTAGCTCAAACTTTGCAAAAAAATCGATAAAATCGATAAAAGTAATCGGTAATCTTGAAAACCAATATTGTTTTCGGAATTCCCATGCTCGATTACCCCCTGTGCCAACTCCCAGCCCCGTAGGTGAACTCAGCAAAAAAATCGATAAAAATCGATAAAATCGATATCGATCGATGACGAAAAGTAGCCTATGACACCCGCCGGTGCCCGAAGTGTATGTGTGCCAAGTTTGGTCCGGATCGGTTCAGAAATGGAATTTTCTATTCGGAACATACGTACACACAGACATACATACATACAGACAGACAGACAGACATACATACAAACAGACATTCAGCTTTATATATAAGATAGTGTCTTCGCAGCACTTTAACGGGTACTTTTCCGTTATCCGGACCCATTTCTCAAAGGCTCTTATAAAATACATTCTGTAGTCTTAGAACAATTTTCCATGGATTCTACGAGGACTGCTTCCCCGTCACGTGCCAGGAAAAAATTGACAGGTTCTAGTCCATTTTGACATGTTTTTTCGAAATCATTTCCGGTGGGGTAAAAGAGCATTTGTAATCACCTAAAAGCTGTTTATTTGATTTCTACAGAACAAAACAATCTAGAAACACCATTAAACTATCTCAATTGCTTCAGACAACGATTTAAAAAAAGCGTTTCTCTTCAAACCTTCCGCCATGCGAGTTTAGCCAGGAAATTCTATAAATGATGGCTTGAAGTAACACCTTGCTGCTGTAGCCGTATTCATCAACAATCCCAATGGGTTCCAGAACCCATGGTTCAACCCACAAAATCGGTATTCACGAAACTAGTGGGTTCCGGAACCCACAAAAAGCCACCTAATCGGTACTCACGAACGTACCCAGTGGGTTCGCGAACCCAAAAGGCGAGCAAACCGCATTCACGAAACAAGTTACCTGGTTCTTGTGGGTTCCGGAATCCACTGAGCACTGGGTTGGCGAACCCAAGCACGGTGCAAATTCCTCAGTGGGTTACACCCACTCCGTTTGGGGAATATTATGGAGACTTTTGATAGCAGAGGTTTTATTACTAGCAAACTTATACATTAGAAACACTTCCCATATTCTTCATAACTGAAAGCAATTTTATTAGATAAATTTTGATTAAACTTGATGCCTGCCACAATTTGGCAGCCCCTGAAAAGTCGCAACAAGCTTTTTAACACGTTTCGGACCGCGAAATCGCGCGCGGCGAAAAAGAGTGTACTTTCGGCGGTTAGCCAGCAAAGGAACCTTATTTCGCAGACTGTGGACTACATCTGTAATCAGCATGCCAGATAAGCTCCATACCCAAAGTTCTGGGTGAATTCGAAGCGTTTGAATTTTGTCGCTTGAGAGGGACTTTTGTGCTTTCTTAAAAAATGGGAGCAAGAACTCAGTTTCAAATAGTATCTAGAAGTATCTATGTTGTACAGTGTACTCGTCACTATTCAAACTACGGTTTATCTCTTTGAAAAAAGGAGCAAAGAAAAGTTGCGACGTCGCACGCGTCGTTCGCGTTGCCGCACTTCGTTGCAACTGTTGTTCGATTTGTCCTCATATCTCGTAAACAAATATCGGCGGCAGAGCTCCACAGAGTCATTTGAAAAGTAAGAGTTTAGACCTTTGACTCAACAACTTCGGACTCAAAGAAAACCTTTTGTAAAGGTCAGAAAGAACCTTCAAAGCCACCGGTCCGAAGCGTGTTAACGGAGATTTTTTGCGTCAAATTGTAAAGAGCCTAAGCACTTGCCGATGTTTGCTCAAGCTATCTTAGAATTTTTCTGATTTTGCTGCGACTACAGGGGGAGCCTTATATGGGAAGCAGAGCGTCTGCCTGCATTCGTGTTTATGTATTTGATTGTCTGTTGTCCATGTTTGTCTATGTTTGTTTATTCTTCAAATTAAAAAATCTTGCCCCATTCCGGTCAAGTGAGCAGACAAACGGTTCAAGATAAAGAAAAAAGCGGTTTTAATCAAAATCGTTTGTTCCTTAATATGTGGAGTAAAAACCAATGGGAAGGGAACAAGTAGTAATCATGGTAATCACTTATAGTTTACATCATAGAGATTAGAATTTTATCGATGATCTCTTTGCACACTCCAGTCTGAGGAAAACGTACTCCCCCACCATTCCGGCGTCCTCGCACAAGAGATACAAATGGACAAAGACTTGAGTGCTTCCTGTGAATATGCGCCTTGTCACTGATGAAATTCCCGTTTGAAAGTAGGAGTTCGAAAAAAGGCGCAGATCTACTTGTGTGTGTAGCAAAAACATCTATGAAACAAACTCAGCTACTCCTTGCACCATAACAGTTGTTGAAACTATGCGGATTCGTGGATGTCAGTTATGCCGTGCAATCTTCGAAAAATGCGGCTGATATATTCCTTATAAGAAAAAAACAACTCTGAGTAAGAAAGATCAGTAGAACGAAGAAGGAGTAGAACCCTCTTTCTGCATCAATTTCCACACATATCATTGACGACAGTCATGTCGGGGTCCGAAAGAATACCCGAATAAAATACAGAATAAGGGAAGTGCAAGTGTTGTCGCACAAGAGACATTGGTTCATGTCATCCATCCAAACATAAGAGTTCCCGAAAGCGTGTCGAGCGCGCTGACGCTTTTAGTTTAGCGCGATCTCTGTGCGTGGGAAAATGAGGAAAATAGTAGACCGATTAGAGGAGGCACATTGGTGACGTCATGGGTTGACGAACCCAACGGGGCACTTGTGAATACCGATCTTACCTAGTGGGTTCGCGAACCCACGGAACCCACTGGGTTCCTGGTTTCTCAAAGCTTAGATGACGGAATTTAACTCACTTCTCTATTCTGGGCATGTCTACTTTGTTCATTGATAACAGGGTGACGTTAACACCATAATAATGATTCTTTTTGAAATTGTTCACTCGAAAATGGGGTCATTATCAACTAAAAAACAGGTTGAACTTGTGTTGTGAGGTAGGACAACATGAACTCTTGGTAAAACTTGTTAAACATGTAGATGGCATGTATTTTTTTGACACCTGTCAGAAGGCTGACACTGCTTCCTGTAATGTTGGGACCAAATATGGTGCAAGGAAAAAAGCATTATCCTTCTCTGAAAAAATGGGTTCGGATAACGGAAAAGTACCCTTTACCGACTAGGGAGTCCAGAGATAAAAATTCGAACGGGACGTCTAACTCTGAATTTTGGGAAATAAATAGTCAAAAATCTGAGCACTGCAGAGAAACTCCTTTAAGGTTTTTTCTTAGATTGCTCTTTCTAAAGGTGCCATGTTTGTGCTAATCGAGCTTTTTATGTATATACCGTGGCTAAATTCGGAGAATCGCCTTCATTCGCGTTCAAAGTTTGACCAGAAAAGTGAATGCAACGAAACTCTGGTTTTGGATGCGGTTATCTGAAACTCTATAACATTTCAATAGATGAGACTGTAAGCTTGCCTCAACCATCCTTAGATGAAGCATAAAAGAGCTTCTTAATAGCTTCTTGACTGTTTCTCAATTTTTTAAGCGAATCTCTTAGATTTTGGCCTCTTGCTCGAAATATGCTGAAGCTGGTGCGTGTGCTTACATGCTTGCTGTGCTCCATCGAATGGTATGTCTGCTTTCTGATCAAAATTGAAAAGTGTAGTACTTAGTGCGGTAAAAAGAATTGAAAAAACTATGAGACAGCCTAACTGAGAACTATGCCCTTCTCAACAAAACATTTCTATCCGTTGTAATAACAAAAATCAAAGTCAAAGACGAGAAACTAGTAAATGACTACTCTACTTACGTTAGA